CTTGATATTAACTTATTGTTTATTGAACTGTTGTATAAAATCAATATCACATTTGTAGCCATGCTGATTTTTAAGGAAAAACGGCGCTATTCGTGTGATATTGATGTAGCGAATCAGCTCATGGGGAAATATGAATAATTAATCATAACTAGTTATATTTTTCCCCCGCATTTGGCAGGTTGGCGGGTGTTAATTTCAAACCCTGGTTACAACCCTAATAAACACCCGCACTCCCACATTCACACAAGTTGCAGAAAGAGAGAAAGTGAGGAAAGAATGAGTTTTAAGAGAGTGAAAATATTTATAGCAATATGCAGTTGCTTAGACCTGAACAACCATTAATCATTTCATTTAACCCTCGCATTGAGTTTTCAATGAGGCTACGAAACTTTATTAAATGCACCAGTTCAGAATCTGGAGGTTTTCTTGCGTTGCCTGTGTTTGGGGATTCTTTTTGTTGTCGTGCTGAAAGGGGTTTCCCAGGTTGTTGATTCGCTGGAGGTCTTGTAGCATCCGGAGTGATGTCTTGGGAAGCCAATCGTTGGGTGTTGGCTGAAGAGTGGGTTCAGAGTTGTGTACATTGGTTGAAGTTTTGAAGCGCGCACAGACAAAGTCTAAGACACGGCTTTGCGGCAAAACTTAGAACACCAAACTCTCAGCGGTAAAGAAATGAAAAAAAGAAAAGAAGAAAAGAAAAGTGTGACGAGACTAGATGGTAGAGGAGCAGCAGGCATGCGGACCAAGAAGCCCAAAAGCCCAAAAAGTTGACAAAGGCATGCTTGAATGAACAAAAACCAGTGAACACACAGAATTGTTCATGTCATAGGGTTTTAAACTCAGCTGTTAGACACATCCCTAATAGTGTTTTGACCAATTAGGCATTGTCTTAGCTCGGGCTGTTGCTATGTTTCTCCTCCCAATACATAAATCAACATGTTATCTTGTTACATGTTGATGATAATCATGATAATCAAACATGATAATCAAATGTGTGGGTTACATACAGATATGGAGTTATGCAATGGAATGATATTTGGTTATATTTCCTCTTAGCATAATTTTAAGATGATTTGATGCATTCATATGTAAAGGCAGTCTATGTGGAGTTCTGTGAGTGCTAAGTAATTCAGTTCTGTGAGGAAGAGTTCAAAAAGGTCTTAGGACTCTGAGTCTGGTCTCTGTCCTGGGTGGGGGAAATCAATCTAGGGAAGTCTTAACTCATGATTTTCCTCATGGTTTTATTCATGATGGTCATGATGTGTTGTCTCTTTGACCATTAATCGTGGGTTACCCGCCCAAATTTGACAATCTTCTTCCTTAGGATTCTTTGTTTAAGCTGTGAAAGAGTAGGTTGGTTAGGTTGCTCTAGACTTGTTGGCGCTAGGATCCCGGACATATTTATGGTCATCCATTTTATCTTGGGGTCTCACTCTGGAATTCTTGCTGCTGGGTCAGTTTTAGCAAAGTTCTGATCACATTATAACTGTCTGATTCACGTTGATATTCTACATGACATTGTTTACAAAGTGTTTTGTTAATGTTTTCCTGTGGTTAAAACAGATTGAGTGATTATGTGAGACATACATTTCAGTATGGTGTACTGTTTCAACATACTTCCTGATATTCATTCATGTTTATTTTGTGCTGTAAGTAGTAGTAAAGAAGAAGAGATGAACAGTTCATGTGCGCTCAGCTCTTCTACTTGAACTCAGGTGGCTACATCAATCTGTCACACCACATCAAAGAGCGTTAAAATGACATTTATTGTTTTAATTTCATAATAAAATTGACATAATTTGAAAATTCAAAGGTTGTTTTAATTATTGAATGGTAGAAATAAAAATAAAGACTTTTACTTTACTTTATTAAACCAGACATCAGTATTGCCAACCTGCCAACCCTAAGGTCCACACTACATGTTTACATGTGCATGAAGTAGACACTGACAGTCAAAACATGTTATCGGAGTTGTGCTAATTAAACATTGTCATTTTGGTCACTGATTCTGGCCCTCCAAAACAGCAAATTCTAAAGGTGAAGTATGTAACGTCTCCTATTCTATCTTTATACTAATGATGCACCAAAAAAAAACAGAATTTTTGGTTATAGAATATTTTTGGTTATTTGGTAATTTTGGTGCATCACTAGTATTAAGCTAAGTACTTCATCTCTAGAATTTGCTGTTGATGGACAGTTTTAACTTTGTAAAGTCTCTTTTTTTAACTGTACTTGAGAAACAATACAGAAGGCGACTTTTTGTTGTACAATGTAACAAAGATGTAACACCCTCAGTGTCAGATCACTTCGTGATTCTTGTATGGTGTGTGCAGTTGAATGAGATTGAGATGTCTTCACACTGCACTTTTGCTTGTGCATGTTTGACCTGTGCTTTACTCCACGCAGGGTGAATGACGTGATTCTGAGAGTGAACGAGGTTGATGTTCGGGACGTGACCCACAGTAAGGCTGTGGAGGCATTGAAGGAGGCGGGGTCACTGGTCAGACTGTATGTCAGGAGGAGAAAATCTGCAGCAGAGAAAGTCTTGGAGATCAAGCTCATCAAAGGACCCAAAGGTAAAGTAACACCAACCAACTCCTCTTGTTGCTGGTGGTCGACAGATATGGGATTTTTAATGGCCGATGCCGATATTGAGAAATCAATCTGCCCGATATGAAGCCGATATAAAACATGTAATTACAGTAAATGAGAGACATGCAGAAAATTGGTGAAACTAAATGAACATTTATTATGCATAACTATTTATTTGTGGGCGGAGCTTAGGTGGAGGCAGAAAGATTCCCCTGACCATTTCACTAACGCTAGCTATGAAGTTTTGTTTTTGTATTTTACCTGAATATGTACGGTCGTTTTATTGTGTTTTTAACCACAGCTGTCGTCGTTTTTCTGTCTGGCAATGGCAGCAGGTATGATAAAATTTCAAATTGGAGCCTGTACTCCATTGATTCTGGCACCCAACATCACAACAAGATGATATTTTAAGCTCCTTATGTAGCCGAATCTCTACTGGTTTGAATTGGCCGCCTCCAGTTTTCCCTTTGTTTTGCCTCCAGCTAGCTCTGTGACGTTATTGTGACGTTGGCACTAAAAGGGTCTATAGTTTACAGAGCAGCAGGTTGTTTTAATTACTGTATGGGATAGTTGGTTAATAATAAAGATATATGTCTCTGATCTGTTTTGTTTTGCTTGTCTGTTTCATTGTAAAAATAATACAAGCCTGAAGGTGTATAATTACATGCTTGGTTATCAGCATATAGCAGTATTAAATAAGGAACATATGAAAAGGTATACTACACGCAATATTACGCCAATCATGGGCAATCAAATACAGCGGATATTCCTGAATAAACATATAAAAGAATTCAGCCGTATTATTATTACTTACAGTTCTCGTGTCGACCCAGCTTTCATTCTTTTGAGTCCACCGGAAAACAGCGTCTTGTTTAGAATTACCCGAAAACAACGCGCATATCTGAGGAAGAGCCAGTCGCGGGATTTTTGATTGTTTGTGAGGTAAACACGGTTTCATTTTTGTTTGAATTCGTTTACATCACATCTGTGTCTCCCACCGGGGCTACCGCTGGACTGCGGATATGATGTATCACGGTTCGTTGGAATAAGACTTTGCTGCACGCTGGAGTGTTACTGTATGTAACACAGCGTAGCATCACGTTAGAAAGTGAATGACAATTGGTCATTTTACTCTCTGTCAGATGCTGGCTTCACATCTGAGTGGCTTGTCTTAAAGAGGAAGCATAAATGCACGATATGGTGTCATAATCCGTTTTGAAAAACATCGGCCACACGGAAAGACTTATCGGCCGATGCGATATTTAAAAAATTCCAAATATCGGCCGATATATCGGTCGACCACTAATTATTGCTGTTGATTTTTCACTGGTGCAGCTTTTGACATTGACCGTGTACCTGGGATTTTAAAAGTCATACCAATTCTAAATGTTAGGTCAGTTTGAATGTAAATATTTATGATCTGTATAACGATTTAATGTGTAAAGTTTATTTCATTCTGCTGTACTCAGAACATTGTAGCACTACATAGTTTTATTTCAAATAGAAAGGTGAAGAACAGAGTTTCAGTTTCACCCAACCAAATTTGACATTTTAAACTTCTAATCCTTCCTAGCATTACACTAAGGAAGCAAGAGTGCTGCGAAATCATTTCTTGGGATTAATATCTGATCGGAGTTAAGAGTATGATTAGTCAAGTCACGCTATATCTGAATACCATAGACATTGTCCCCTCTTGGGAAATGTGAAATATACAGTATATATATATATACACACACACACACACACACACACACACGCAAATACGCAACAGGGCTATTTTAAGGCCAACCACAGCGTTTCCACAACACTGCAAAGATCTTAAGCTTGCGTTGCCATGGATACATTTCTCTCTCTCTTGCCTTTACACACAGTTTGCCGTATAATTTATGCAACAGTTTATCTCTTCTCTTTTTTGTTTATTCAAATTCAATTTAAAATATTACTGGATAGCATTTTTATGTTGTTGTGGTGTGTGAATGTTCATTATGGCAGATATTGTTGATTATTTAGCTGCTGTTAATAGCTTTTTTTCATATGATGTCTGGTTGTTTTTTTGCATGTCAAGATGTTTTAGGTCACAGGGCCAAATATATTGCGGCTAATCTAAGTTTTGCTGTCACCATCAAATAACCTTTTGTTTTTGTCTGTATCTTGGTTTATACCAGGTCTTGGTTTCAGTATAGCAGGGGGTGTTGGGAATCAGCACATCCCAGGGGACAATAGCATCTACGTCACTAAGATTATTGAAGGTGGAGCTGCACATAAAGATGGGAGGCTGCAGATAGGAGACAAACTTCTTGCTGTAAGGAAACAGTCTATCGTCTGTTGCTGATGACTGTGTGCTTGTTAAATAGATTAATGTCTGTGTGTGTTTTGGTGTGTGTCATAGGTGAATAGCTCCTGCCTGGAGGAAGTTACCCATGAGCATGCCGTGACTGCCTTGAAAAATACCCCAGACGTGGTCTACTTGAAAGTAGCTAAACCCAATAGTGTCTTCATGAATGACAGTTTTGCCCCTCCCGACATCACCAACTGTGAGTACCAATTTGGGGGGGGGGATAAAGAGTCTTACTTGTACAGACTGTTGCAGTGTGTGAAGCCCATGCCCAGCTGTGATCGTATTGATCTGTGCTCTGTTCTGTCTAAACTACTATCGATTGTTCTTGTCTGAACGTGCCGCCCTTGCAGCCATTAAAGCCTACGTTGTGCAGGGGTGGTGAAGGCACTGCTGTATAAATGCCCCTCTGTGTGTCTTCCTGCCCTTAAACAAGGCACTAATGACTCTGTAATGCTGAGGGTTGTGATCTGTTTGGACTGTGTGGAAGTGTTTTTAAGACAGCCCATCTGGATGTGTTTCTCATTTCTCCACATTGATTTGATTAGAAGTATTATTGTCTTAATGGCACTGGCACTGAAAAAACAGTGGTGGCAGGATGGTTAAAGATGTCATAGACATGGCATGGTGTTCATAGGCATGCATCAGGCAATGACAATAAAAAAATGAAATTAAACAATTGCGCTGATGGAACATCTTGTCTAAACAACCCTTATCTGAAGTGCTGTTCATGTGGATGTCAAAGCACAGCCGGATGCTTGTTTTGAGGGATGTGAGCCTGACGCAAGTCATGTGTAAGGGACTTTAGCTTTGTGCTGTAGCTTCAAAGCCACCAGTACTGTGGGACTACAGCTTTTGACCTACAACATGTAGACTTCTGAAGACAGAATAATTTCCTAGTAAGCTCAAGTCTGTTAAATGAAAGTTACCTTAAAGTTATTGTACATTTACATAGTCAACCACCTTCATTCTCCACTGCTAAGCTCTTCAAAGGCTGTGGACCCCAGACACACAGTAACACACGCACAAAAGCACACCACCAAATCAGACACACTTTCATCATTAAAAGCTCTTGATCTCTCTGCCCCTTCTGATGCACCCCACACAACTCCCTTTAGACAAACTCGTTTTTAATCCTTAAACAGGATGCTTGCCATGTACCCCAGTCTGAAGGGTGACTCCTATCTCAAAGTCAAAGCCTGCACAACTCTGCTGTTAGCACTGATCCCCCCTGTGTATGGGGCAATTAGACAAAACCACCCCCATATCGGTCACAATTTATGACATACTAGACACAGATGAAGTTCAGAAATCAGTTCAAAACCACTAGAATAGAGTTCAGGTTTGGTGAACTCTGACCTGCGAATTCGTATCACGTGAAAATTTGTATACAATATGTCACAGCGTGACCACTTAGCTGGAACTTTAACTTTAACTTTAAAGCTGCAGGTTTGCAGTAGAATGTATATTTTTACATTTTGGATGCTCAGTCTAGTGTGACCACTCTATACCATACCAAATTTTGGTATTGGTCGGTATGAAATGGAAATTGATGCTATCTATTTTCTAAATGCATTTTGATGGATTTTATTGTGAACAATTAATTCATTCAAATGTGTTTTTTTTGTAGAAGCATGGATTCAGATGTGGTTTCATCCAATCAACTACAGTTGATTAGAACCACATCCCAGCTCTACTTTTTTCTTCGATAATTTGTTTCACTCAGAATCATAATTCGGAAGAAATTATCTGTCACTACCATTACATTGCTTTAGGACAGGATATTACATGTATCATTTAAAGAGGCAACCCCAGCATTAACTACAAACATTCATTGTTTCATTCAGTGCCAAAAGTGTTGATAGAAAATAGTTTAAAATAATTAAAAACTATTTTTAACTATTTTTTATATTTTATGCCTATACGAGTATTGCATTGTTCTGATGTTGTATTGACATTGATTCTTCCATGCATATTTGTTTGATACCTTTGTAGCACATTTCGAATCAGTCACTTGGGAGGTTTTTTTCAAGTTCTGATCATTGTAAAGACAGCAATGCTGTTCATTAGGTTGTGGAAGATAGCTAGGATTGATTTTGATGCAGACGTTCAACTCGGTTTTGTTTATATTTTGCTTAGCCTATAATTTTAAATGACAGATGTCGTATTTATTTATTTTTCTCTGCGACACTTTTCCTACTGTGTTAACAGAAAAATGTCAAACTAATTTAGTATTCTGACAAGAATAAAAATAGCTAATAGGCTATTTTTGTACAACCTACATTTTCATTTTTTTTCTCTCTGCGACACTTTTTCCTATTGTGTTGTCAATGTTAAACGAATTGTATCCTGACAAGACGAATAAAAATAAGAAATTTTTGTACAACAATTTTATTTTCTCTGACACTTTTTTTTCCTACTGTGTTGCATAAAATATTAAACGAATTTCGTGTCTAAAGATAATTCATATAAATTTAAGTCAAAGTCAATAAATGTAAGACTCTTGACAAGACGAATAAAATGACATACAATTTTGTGCAGACTACACTTTTATTTGTTAGCCTATCTTTCTTTCAGTAGCAGAAATTTTAATGTGAGATTCTGGAAACGAGATCTAAATTTAGCGGGAACGGTCGGGTCGGGAAGAAAATTATTCTAAGCGGACAGCGGGTGAACAAAGACTGAATATATAGCGGGAGCGGGTGGGTGTGGAATATAACCTTGCGGGAGCGGGACTAAAAAAACAGTCCCGCGCAGACCTCTAGCT